GATGTTTATTCTTCCATTATTCAAAATGTAATCTTTTTGTTTTAAATATTGATTTAACTTAAGGAACCAAATAAACTTATTTTCCAGATTAAACTGGTTTAAAATACAGAGATATTATTAATAGTAATTTTTGTTTATTCTCAAATGGATTATACACCTTTGTTTTTTAAACTGTCCTTGGATTAACTGTGATTTTTGACATCATCCCTTATATTATCCTGCTAAATCAAAATTTAACTGTAATACTGAATTGCATTTTGTTGCAAACAGTGTAGGATAAACTGTTAGTGATAGAGCTATTGAATTAAAGAGATGATCATAAGTTCCACAAATTTGCTATGCTGCCTTTCTCATACATCTGCTAGAAGTGAATACATACTTATGTATATGTGGAAGGGAGCTACATCCTCCTTCAAAAGTATTTTAAATATAAAATGAAAGTTTCTGGAAATATTTGCTACAGAAAGATATTTTTTCAGAAATTATAATAATTCTACAGCATTTGCTTTGCGCTGCTACACCTAAAATTATTCGCAAAGTTAACGCATCGGCTGCGCATCTGGGGCAGTTAACGCATCAGCTGAGCAAGGCGTATATATACGCCCGTGGCAGTTAAGGGGTTAAAAGTCCTTAATTTTGGCCAAAATCAACAGAAGGTCCTTAATTTTAATCATCTGAAATTTCTGTCTGTTTTTATGACTGCCATTTTGAGTGTGAATTATCATTTTAAAGGAATATTTTTGGCGATTCACTGGCATATATGTTCATACTTTGTTTCTATTTCTGATATAAATGATGGGATACTCGAGTTTCTAAGCAAGAAGTGAAACATAAGCATTTGGAAATTCATATTTTCTAATAAAGAACTGTTAAACAAGTTTTCGCTTTTGGGGATGTGAATTCTTTTATTAAACGGTTCTAAATTTGGCGACTTGTCAACATTTTAGCGATTTAAGATCAGTTTCTATAGAAAATTTTTAATTCTGAGATCTGAAAATTTGTCGACGATTTTTTTTAAAACATCATAACATATTGAAATTATATTTAAAAATAACATTAAAATAAAACGTTTTTATTTTTTGCTGTCATATTATAAAGTTTCATTTTGGCAACTTATTATACAATATTTTGAGTCTGAAAAATACACAAGTTATAATGCTATAGAGCATAATCTACGAAACATCTCTTAGCAAAAGCAAAATTAGCTATGTAATTAATTAAAAATGTCTTCTTTTTAATTTTTTCATAGTAAGCGTTTTTCCCATGTAATTGTCTCAGAATATTCAAAATTCTCAGAAAACGCATCAGTTTTCTCTATAAAATTAATTTTACACTTTTTCCCTCCTCTCTCTCTCTCTCTTTTTTTTTTTTTTTAAATATATTTCTGGCTTTTTGCTGTTACAGAATTGGCTAAACTTCTAGACTGATCAAGTATGTGACAAAATGAGATAAAAAAAATCAGCATAAAGCTAACTATTAGTAAAACGTAAATGTCACTTATTATCTTTCAAATATGCGCAACTATTATAAGTGTAAAATATTTAATGCTACTTGATAAATTGCATAAAGTTTATTTTATTCTCAAAGTTATTAATAATTATGTTAATTAATTCATGTTTAGTAATAATGCATACTACCTAGGGATCTATTTTATTTTTAGGATGGTATTACAAAAGTGAAATTCAGGCATAGAATAATATTTTTAATTGAATATATTCAGTTCCCATTTGCTCTTAGGTCCTTAATTTTTTTCCATTAATGATCCTTAAAAAGTTCTTAAAAGTACTTAATTTCCGTGTGCAAAAATGTGTACGAACCCTGAATAAAATGTAGATATACAAATTCTATGTTTAAATTGTATTTTCAAAAATTTAAAAATAACTGTAAACTTTGTTAGCTGTAAGGCTGCATAGTATCTGTAGCTCTAAAGATCCAGACTGCTAACGTATTTCAATTCTGTTAATATATCCTTTATTATACCTATCTGCATGTAATGTACAGTTCTGAGATTTTTTATGTAATTAAATAAATGGATATTTTGACTGAAAGAATTAAAATAATTGAAATAAAAGTTGATACTCACTCAGTTACAGCATATTCTGTTTTATTATAGTGAATAAATTATTTTGGAGTGTTGTTTCCTAGTAAGCACAAATCTGATAATGCTGTTTGGCACTTGTAAGACATTTACATTTCTGACATCTATATTGATTTATAAACATTAGCATAAAGAATAAATAACATTGCTTCTAGCATAATGTGAAAGCTACTGAAGCTGTATTAATTATAAGAGATTCATAATATTATTCTTTAATCTTAAGATATTGAAACTCAAGAAAATTGTTTAATTATTAAGCATTGCAAATTTAATGATGTGATGTATATATTCATGTTAATTGCAAATCATCAATGCAGCATATTAAAATACATTTGTTGCAAATAAAGGGTGTATTTAATTATTGCATGCTGTTTAAAATGTTTAACAAAATTTTTAAGAAAAAGTCATTGCTGGATTGCATTACGGAATAGAAATCATGCTGTGTATGCTGTGTCATAAAGCAAGCTTGTACATTTTATAAAACTTTAGTGATCCAGTTCAGGGATATATAGATTTTATGTTTTTGTATTACAGAAGAAAAAAACTTTTGCACTGATACTTGCAAGATTTTAATTAGGAGGGAATGAATCTTTGTTTAATAATTTTAGGTAAGACAGATGTCAAGTAGGATTTGGTTGACACAAGAAAATAAAAGTATTAGCATATGAAGCCGTTAATGCTGTTCCAAGGAGAAATACATATGATCATATAATGTGCACACGTTTTACTTAAAAATTTCGCAGCAGCTTTCCAGGTGCAGACATTATATGAGTCATTCAGTTCCAGAGTTTGAAAACTTGTACTTATTTTAAAAGCTATTTTAAATTACTATTATTATTTTTATTTTACTTACTTTCCTTTAAAAGCTTATGGTAATACTTGAAGAACAAATGAAAAAAGAAAAGATGTAATAAATAAATAGAAGTATTAGAAATTAAATAATTTACAGAACAAATTCAGAATTCTTAAGTATGTGCCTGTATAGGTTTGCATACTACCCTTCTCCAAATAACATGAAGTGCATGCATTCAGCAGCAGTATTTTAACAAGTGTTATTAATGTGCTTTCTGAAATAGATTTTACTGTTTATAGCATCACAAAATCACACTTACCCTCTGGTTACTATATGTAGAGTAGCAAATCTTGTTTATTGATCAACTTATCTTCTAACATCGCTGTCTTTTTTCACTGCATTAGGATTATGTTAATTTTATTAACAGTTAAATTTTGAGTTAAAGTTCCTTTCCTATCATTTCTTAACTTCAACATACACTTCCAGCCAAAACGTAGTTTTAGAATCACGTCTGAATACACAATGAGGAAGAGTGGTATTTAACCTCGAAGTTCTTCGGTCTTACAGAGGAGATACCAGGTATTCTGGCTGCACGCGTTCACCTTTTTAGGCTACTCTCTCGTAAGCTATTATTACGCTTGGCCGTACTTCAGGCCCTTGATAGCTTTGCAGTCAATTAGCATTAAGAGGCCAACTCAGTTAGAATCTTGATACCTTTGACTATATCTCTTTATATTAGTTTTAGTTTATTTCTTAACTTCTTAAGTTCAAGCCCAAGTGTCAACTTTTATTGTACACTCCAAGACAGAGTTCTGTTAAATCCTATTTAAATAATAAAGGGTTATTTAACCTTCTATCTTGTTGTTTCCTGTCACACGAACTCAAGGCGATTCTTCACTTCCAACAGTAACTTGGAAATTACAAAGTGAGGAACTCTACAACTGTCATGAATGGAAAGATTTTTTCCACTGGAAGTCATCTTCAGTTTTATCCATTACATTTGAGAAGCATGTTACTTAAAAATATTTTTTGTAATGTCCTGGGACTTACTACTTCATGCTGTATTAGTACATATTATGCATACCTTAACATGAGCCAGTTTTCCCTAAAAAGCCCACAACAAAGGCATTCCACCCAAGCAGACAGCTGTTGTGTGCTTTGTCACAATGTTGTTTAAATGTACCTTTTTGCAGTTGTGTTTTTTTAAAGCATAGCTAGTAAAAATGTCTTTAGATGCTGCTGATGTAGTCAGAAGCTGCATATCAGTAGTCCGAAGCAAACCTTTAATGCATAGATTTTAATCAGTCCACAAGGTCATTCATTGTCCTCCCGCCTTTTGTCCTGCACTTTCATGATAATATCATTTTCTATATCTGCACAGAGGTAATCTTGTATTGTCAGCCATGAATGCTTACATCACAGATGTCTTTTTTCCTACACTGAGAGGGAGCAAGGACGGATGTTATTCTCTACTAAATTACAATACAATTATTAAATATTGAAATATACTAGGGTGTGGCTCACATTACAGATTTGTAAAATCAAGTAATCATTTGCTTTAGATTAGGAAGTAGCAAACCATTGTAAATTCAGATTTCTTTGTAATCAGCTGGCAGTTCCTAGGCTAATCATTCTTCGTCAACAGAAACAGAAGTCTTTGCACTTGCCATAATTTGGGCTAAAGCCATTTTTCTTTTAGCCATGGCTTACACCTTACATTTCATGTGTCATTGCCTAGTCCTGATTTTGCATTTCCCAAGGTATGCAATCAGTTTTTAGTCTACATTAGAGGTTGACACTTTTTCCTATAAAATTGCAACTTGTCCTACTTGGGGCACTAAGTGTTTCACATTGAACACACCACTTGTGCACAGTTTTCTCAGCTATGAATTTCATCGCAGTTGCATGGTTTTTATTCTTTTGTGCAAATTCTATGACTTTCAGCTTAAATTATTGAGTATTTTAATATTTTTGCTATGTAATTGAGATTTCATTTGACAGAAGTAGCTAATCTAGAGAACTGCACTTCTCAGATTCTGTTATGGGATTAATTTGGGGGTATTTTGTAATTATATGTATATATCTAGTACATGATATTTTATGTTGTAGGATTGATCAAGCATTATGGAGAAAGTCACCTTGATGCCAAAAACTGCAAAAGTAAGAACAATCTGATTTTCAGTAATATTCTGTTTTTTCCATAAATTCAGGAACAAAATAGTAGTTTGAGAAGCCTTTTTGTTCATATATAATGTGTGTATATATACAATCAGGGTGTACTGAGTGTGTATATATAGAGGGTTATTCACGATCATGTGTATACATGTCTGGCAGGGATAGCTTACTTAAAGGTGAATCAGGATTAGATAGTAATGGAATTCTAATGCAATAGAAGGCATTGTTGGGGAACCAGTAAAATGTCCCTGCTGGAAAACTGTCATTTGACAACCACTTGCAGAGGTAGTAGGATGGAAGGTTTCACAAATATGGAGATAGCAGATATATATGGCTACTGACTATAATGGGTAACCTGATGTGTACCTATATTGTCAGCATTACCCAATGATACATATTCTGAACCACCAGACAGCTGTATCAAAGATGAGATATGCCATGAACTGAGAATGCATGACAAGGTTCCTGAAACTAAAGAGGATGCTTTGTCCTGCAGACGACACTCCAAATGACTAGACATGAGCAATAGCTACTTTCTTCTGTTTTCCGCAAACTACCATCTGGAAGATTTTGAACTTCAACCAGTTGCATCCATATCATGAGCAGTACATACAGTGTACCAGAAGGCAGGGCTTCCAGGCCAGTCATGCGCCTTAACCCTTTGATGGACGGTGGGACGCCCATCTTTTTTCTATCAATTTTTATCTCCCAGATGAAAGCTGCAAGAAAAGCTGCAAAATTCCATTTAAAATACATGCAATTACACCTTTTAGTTCTCTAAATATATAACAAATGGCAGCACTTGTATTCATTCATGGAATAATGTAAAATAAAAATTCATGGAAATAATGTAAAAAAAAAAAAATGAAGCAGTTTTTTTTTTTTTTATTTATTTCTAATGCAATTTAAATCGGCTGAACAACAACTTTTAGTGTTAGAATGAATATTTTTATGTGAAAGTTTCCTTTTCTAGAAAACAATTATTATTTGAATTCATATATATTAATTAAGAATGGTTGAAATTAAAAGGTGGGGCCAAATATGTCCCACCACACATGTAGGAATTGCTGCTACTAGATGGCAGCACCGTTAAAATATTTTTATATTCAAGTATCATGTTCGTTTTATATGTTGATAATGCAAATTTTATATTTTTTAATAAATTGCAATAATGTTCAAACCTGAAACACATTTAGTATTTTTTCCGAAAGAAATGAAAATATAACTCTGTAACATGAAATGTCATTGAATACTGAATGGACATGTGACTGTGATTCATCATAGAAAAATATCCTAAGCAGAGGAAAGAGATATGAAATGTAAATGTACATGACGGCCTTCTAAATATCTTCCTTTTCAAACCTGTAGCAAATAAAGTACTGGAGTGAAAATCTTCTCTGTTTCAAATCTATTATGAAATCATTAAAAAATATTTAAAAAGTCATACAGAGAGCAATTTTTTTTAAATTATGTAATTTTTTTAAAAAATATTTTTTATTTTGTGAATATGATCAGTATTTTCTAGATAATTATTCAAAAACGTTTTTTATATCTTGCATTTTCATTTGGTTGCTAAAACTAGCATTTTAGATGAGAATGTTAGGAGAATTTACAATGAGGCAAAGATGCCATTTAACTGCTCAAGATGCATGTTGGGACAAGCAGTATCCCACCATGTCATGAATTACCTTAAATGTTTAACTTTTTTTTTTTGCATGAAATAACATTGTATTAGGGGCTAATTATCTATGTGTAAAGTTATTTTTTCAAAGAAAAAAATTTTATGCACCAAACCTCAAAGGGTTAACATGGTTATATCGATTCAATCCCTGGAGGCTATCCAAGGAGGTGCCACCCCCCTCAGTCAACACAGAGGGACTTACTGCAGCCTGATGATTACTCCCAGAAGGTTGCTTTTGCTCAATAGTGGATTGAACATAATGGTTCCTATCATTGGTCTATGGAATTGCCAGCCCTGTCCTTCCTGAACTTTTTTCTGGAGTCACATAAAAAGTCTGGTTTACGTTATACCTGTCAACAGTGAGGATGATCTCATCACATATATATCTGCATAGCTGCCACAGCTGTCCAAGAGATGCTTGGAATATTTGAAAACATCCATGATTCCATGTTGCACTAATGTCACGTTTGTGTTGCAACTGGAGACCTAAACTTCAAACACCTGCTATATTTTCTCTTAACATCACATCTGTGTCATTTTGATGAATACAATTAATGTTCTTCATTTCTGTGGTGCTCTCATTTTTAATTTTCTCTGTACACATGATGACAGATTAGAATTCCAACCCTGCATTGCTGTTTGATTCTGATTCATATTTGGGTAACCTACCACTCCTGAAAATTTATATGAGTGGTAGTGAATAACTCTGTATATATATAGTACAGATCTAGATAGATTTATAAATAGATAGCTGCACATTTATGTATGTTATTAATTTAAAAGTGTAAATAATTAAAAAAAGTGTCCTTTATACAGGTGCTGGCACCTTTATGTCCACTTGTGACATAAAGGTGCCAGCACCTGAATAAAGGACATCACCCTCTGGTTTACTATATGTACAGTAGCAAATGTTGTTTATTGATCAACTTATCTCCTAACATCATGTTGGTGTTGCTTTCTTTTAGCATGTAGGTTTCTTATTTGCTTTATTATTTAAAATAGCATACTCAAACCATACTTGCATAGCTATGCTCTTGCTTAAGAGTAATTTTAGAAAGGTTGCTTTGATTAAAATAAATTTGATATTCATAAGGGTGCAGTCACCTTTATATCAAAGCTTCCTTGTGAATATCTCTGTGGCAGCAAATTGGAGTCAATTCGTATACAGAAGCCAGCACCTTTATGATGGCTTACTATTATACATCAACTTTGTTATTTTCAAAATATTGCTGCATGCGTACGGGTTCATAATGGATTGAATACACAAGTCAATAAAAAGTTAATAAAATTTATTCTTGCCGCAAGAAATAAAACAAAATGCTGAAATTTCCTCAGAGATATTCACACAACATCACAATATCTCACAGTAGTTATATTTTGAACTACTAAAACGTTAACTAGAACTCAATTCAAACTACAAAGAAAGCTAATCTGATCTCGCCACGAATTCTCTATAATCAACAATGGAAACTTAGTAAACAACTGAATTGAGATGTTTTAATATGGCTTTTATAAGCTTTTTAATCATGCAAGAGAACATTCTGGTAATTTTTATTTCTCGAATTTTATCTAAAACAAAACAATATGAGCTATCTATTAAATGTTAAATGTTCGTGCTCCTGTATTTTTACTTTTTCAATGTAGCTTTCTCTTAAAACTTGTCGTGCACAACATTGCATAGGGTAATGAAACAACTTAATTACAATTCTACTAAAAATAGCAAACTAAATACAAAAACTGTAACACTGCCCCCTTCCCAGGGACTGCACATCCTGGGCAGTACAACCCCTGGACAGGAAGCCAAACTTACAACTAAGGCATTAATGCAACAATAAACATTACATTACAATAACAAACAACATAAATAATAATTGCAATAAGTAATTTAAAACAAATCAAATACTAAATACAAATCAAGTCAAAATTAGAAACAAAAAGGACCATGGTCGTTTACTATTTATAATTATATACACTACATACTATGTCCATAGTAAGGGGGCTAGCCTGTTGTAATGAACAACTTTAGGCTTAGAGTTAAATGACTTACGGATTCGAACCACAACATCATTCAGCCTGTGTAGGACTGTATAGACCATCCCAAGGTGACTGTAGTTTAGGACAGAGTCCTTTCCATTGAGTCGGATTCCACAACCACACCTTGTCTCCTTCGTTGACTTGATGTTCAGTAGCTCTTGTGTCATATCTAGTCTTCATCTTCTCTGTCACCAAGCTGACTCGCTCTCATGCCAAATTGTGCATCACTTCGAACCAGGCCAGGAGATCTTTGATGAATTCCTCAGGTGATGAAACCTTACTGGAGGGTGACCAAACATGAGAACACAAGGCAGACGAAGGTCCCGACCAATGAGCTTCTGGGATGGAGAATAGCCAGTAGTCTCGCATTTCTCTTCGGCCCTAGTATTCCCTATTTCGTATACACTACTTTGGCAGCTTTCTGAGCTGGGTCTTTCAGACAAGGCGTCAGCATTTCCAGGTGAGGATCCCATCTGACGATGGATATTTATGTCATCTGATGCTGAAAGCAGTTTGTTGTTTTCGAAAGCTAAGGAAAAGTTATATTTCCTTAAAAAGTCCAATCCAATTATTCAAGGATCTGTAATCTCTGCCACGTCCGTATGATGGTAGGCAGCACTTCCAAACATGATATTCACATTTAACTTCCCAGCTATGTCGATTTCTTCACCAGATGCAGTCTGGAGGGTAACACAGGATGGCGTCCAAATGAGTTTATTTTTAATTGTTGAGCTGAATCTTTCTGAATGATGGTAACATTAGCTCCTGTATCAATGATCATATTGCAAGGAACTCCGTTGATATGCCCATTAATGGACAGTCCGTTACTGTTGCCACTCACTGTAGAAATCTTGAGTGCTTTAAAACAGGGTTTTTTATTATCTGGCAACCTCTGCTTTTCGATATTGTCATTAATTTGTTTCCTGCGTCGTTGCTGAGAAATGATCTTATTTTCCATGCCCTGGGGTGTTCTGGAGTTCCTTCGTATGTGGCCTTCAGCTCCGCGGTACCAGCATTTTGGTTCTTTGTCACTCTTTTTCTGTCTCATGGCATTTGATTATCTGTTTAAATCATCTGTCTTATTTTCCGTGCTCTGTGGTATTCTACAGTTCCTTCTTATGTTGCTTTCAACACCGCAGTTCTGCACTTTAGAATTGGTTTCTTTTTATTCCTGTTCCATTTCAAGGCACTGATTGGTCTTGCCAAATCATCTGTTTTATTTTTTGTGCCCTGGGGTGTTCTGCAATGCCATCGTATGTGGCCTTCAGTA